CACTATTTGGATTAAATCGAAAAATCATATTAAATTATTTTTTTATTTGAATTGGTTTTTAGGTTTGATTTTGAATTTATAATTTACTTTGTTTAGTTTTTTAGTTTGGTTTTGAATTTTAAAAAATAAAAATCAAATTATATATATATATAGTAATTATTGATATAACCGAATAATCAAATTGAAAAAAGCCGAACCCAATAGAGGAAAATCAAACTAAACTAATTTTATTTTGAATCAGTTTGGGTTACACTTTTTCAAACTCAAAAATCAAAAAATTTAAATCGAATAGTATAAAATCAAATTGAAAAATTGAATGCATACCCATAAGAGGGATGGTGGGGATGAGAGATGTGAGAAATAATCACAGTTTAATTAATTATACAAATATTCAAACATTATTTTCATACATATCAAATGGGTCTCTTAACAACGTGGAAGGACATTAGAACCAAAGGCGAATCCAGGATTAGAAGACGACGGGGCACTGCTAAAAGTGAATGTGAGTTAGTGAAGCAATACATAAATATAAATTAAACAAAATTTAGCATAATTCAATCTATTTTTTGATGGTTTTGACCCTTAGTGTACACTTTGAGATTGTCAATTAGAATCTCGCTTCAGGTTTTTATTAGGCCTTTTTTGTAAAAACAATTAAAATTGACTAAAAGAAAATAAAACAATAAGAATCGAACTCGGGACACTCAAGTTGCTAAGATGCTCAACGGCGAGGTGTTGGACCACTATACCAACTCAACTTATGTGTTTTAGGGTGCACATTTAATTATATAATCCTTGTTTACGAATATACACACATATACACAATAACAAAAATTCAAAGTGAACGGGTGCACGTGCACCCACACCCTAAGAGTGGGTCAACCTTTAACTAGAACTAATACCTAAACAAGATATTGTCAATTCATATGTTGAGAAATCATCATGTGATTAAACTAATAAATTTACAAGATGATGAATTTTATAATTGACACATGAAGGATTGTTGAATGAGATAGAAGTACAAGTATCAATATTGTGGCTTTGAATAGCTTTGGTAAACTCTGTCATGTCCATGGTTCTCCAATTCAATATGTTAAAATAGTTGTGACAGCCAAATGACCAAATCAATTATTACTATTAGAAAAGTTGTTGGATATGCCATCAACAATGGATGTAATAGAGTGAAGATTCTAATTGATGCAAAAAAAATTTGTTGATATAATTTGGCAATGAGTGATTAGTTCATGAGAGATAGAAGTGATGCGTAACGATATTTAAAAAAATTTAAGCATGTTGAATCATGTCAAATTTATATATACTCCTAAATGTTTGAATACAATAGTTAATAGTTTGGCTATTTTTAATCACACCCATCTAATTAAATAAGTGTGAGTAGCTCTTTGTCGTCATTTACCTTTTCTACTGACCTAACAATATTTGACCATAGGTCTGTCTTTTTATTCCCCTAGTTACTCCCTATGTATTTTGACATCCACGTAAATAGATTGTTGCTTTAATGTTCCTTGGAAAAAATCCCCTTCCTTCGTGCCCTAATATGCAAGACCCACAGTACTTTTGTTGTGCCCGACCTTGTTGCTTGTGAGAACGACTAAGTTGCGTCTTCGTTTTTCCTCTCGTGGATCTACAAATCGTTCCTCTACTTGTGCAAAAATGACGTCCTGTTGTTTCTCTTCACTTGTTGTGTCTGTCTATTTCTTGGGTTCATCCGATTAACTCACACTTATTTTGATGAAAGTATTTTTTTTTCCCTACGCTTGTCTTCGCAATTTTATCAAATTTGGTCGTTTCTGTGTCAAACAAAGTGAAAAACCAGATACTTCCTTACATTGATTATGCTATTACGGTCTATGTTACCATTTTTTTTATAGTGGTCTAAATCCTTGCACGGACACTCCCCTAATAGTATGATACTTAGAGTACATTTAGTACGAAATGTTAAGTTTCGTAGAGAGGAAAAAAAATACTCATAAGTTGATATGTGGCCGATAAATTTAAACAATTTTAATACAATATCTTGGCTACTGGCTAGTGTAATGCATGAAAGATTGATTGAGATACTACCTCTTCCAATATCAACTTCTCAAACAAGTTTTGTTAAAAGGCAAAAACATAGCGAAACAATGTTCAACTAATTTAGGAGATTATCAGAGACATCAAAATCAACTGGACATGGCCAAAATCTATAACAGACTTAGTTGCCTTTTTTTTTTCTACCTAAAGAAACTAAAGGAATACTATTACTAGTACCGAAAACTAAGAGACAACTTTTAATTATCTAGTGCTAATTTTCTATTTTGATTTATATGTTTCATAACCTCATATCTAATATCATGTCATCAGTAAATTGAAAAGATACGCCTTGTTTTATTTAATTACCTCTTCCCAATATTTCTCTAATTTACTTTTACTTCTACTTAAATTCACTACGGATAATTTTTCACATCTCCAAGTTGATTTATCTATGCATTCCTTTTCATATATCCAAATTATTTCAACCTAACTCACCTTATTTTAAATATATCTAATTTTATCTCTCCTATTAAGTATGACCACACATCTAGTTCAAAAATCATCATTTTTCACAACTTTCATCTTATGAAGATTTTTTTTAAGGAGTCTCTCAAAGTTCACATTAGTTTTTTTTTTTTTTAATGTTTTTGTTTTAATCATTCAGCTGATGCAACTAATATTTTGGCCTTGGTATCGTTAGATATATATATATTATATTTTGTTTCACAATTTATTAAATTGTATTATTTTATTGAGTATAATGTTGGATAGATTGTATCGTTCTCCATCGTTACATAATGTCACATATCTATAATTTGAATGATAAACCTACAAGAAAAGTAAGGTACATGGTAGAACTACTATGAAAAAGTAGGATAAAAAATGAAATATGATTATTTCCTTTGTTCAACAATAGTTATTCACTATACTATTTTAGGATGTCCAACAATACTTTTCCTGTTTATAAAATCAAAGAGTAATTTACCATTTTGTGTCTATTTTATCCTTACTATTAAATACTTTATTTTTCAAATGAGTTACTTTTAATAAGAGTGAGTAACGAATGTGTCAAATCAATAATGCACAACTATTATTAAACAAATGGAGTATTAAATATAATAAATAAAGACAAAATGAAAAAAAATATTAAAGTAGCGAAGCATTCGCATCAAATAGGTCATTACATAAAATGAGTCCTTGTTATTATTTAACAATGACTTTAAACATTACGATGCAATAAAATTTAAGTGATAAATCAAAATAAATGTGTAACGTATGCTTAGAGCACTGTATGGCGGTTGGATTAAAGAAAGTTAGACGGATGAGATTGGATAAGAGACATAAGGTTCGGATCGTCATGAAAAGAATGCTTTGGATCCCCAAATTTATAAAATTTAATTAAATGCACACCAACCTGAACTTTACTCTACAAGTCTGTTTGTATTCGTTTAGATAGTTATTACGTATTGTCTCATAATGTATTTTATTGTATTATATTATTTTAATAAGGTAAAATAGTTTAGTGGACCCTTGTACTTGCATCAGTTTATATTTTGAACCCTTCCACTTGCCCCTTTGTCATTTGGACCCTTAAACTCAATAAAACACAATTTATCAACCCCTCTAATCATTGACCACGCTTATGTGTCTTTAAGATGGCTGAGTTGACGAAAGTGTGTGACTTCACGCTCCTTAAGGCGAGTGAGTACTATATTTCAGTTTTAAAAATATTAGTAAAAGAATAAAATAATACAAAAATTATAAAATTAATTAAAAAGTCTCCATCTTCTTCACTCACTCCACCTTCAATTGCAGCCATCTCCAATATGCCCGACCCTTTTTTTTCTTTCCATACTCTTGTCATCATCTTTAAGAGATCTTGGCATTGAAACCTCCTTGAGTCCATTGATTCACCGCTAGAGGGAGAGGTCGACGGTGGTGGTGCTCGTCAGAGAAAATTGGTTCGCAGTAGAGTGAGAGAGACGGTGAGGGTTGGAGGATCTAGTTATGACAACGTAGAGATTTCAGCCAGATTTGGTGGTGCGGTAGCAACGGCTGCTTAGTTGGTAGTTTTGTGATGGTTGAAGGAGGAGAAAAGTAAAATAGCGAGGGTGTACGGCGGAGAAGAAAGACGGGTGAGGAAAAGAGTATAGGCAGTCTCGCCGACAAGAGTTTCTCCGGTAGATTTTGTCTATGTTAAGGTGAGAATGGGGGAGAAGATGTAGGAGTTTCGAAATTTTATTTTAAGGAATAAATTTAAATTTTATTGTTTTACTTTTTATTAAATAATTTTGGTTAATAAATTTTAAATAGTTAATAAAGATAATTATGACATGTCATTGATATAGGTGATATGAATTTGACATGTCATCAATTTAAGGGAGAGTGAACTACACATATGATAAGAGGGGTTTAAAAATCTTATTTGAATTGAGTCTAAGAGTTCAGTTGATAGAGAGTTAAGTAAAAAGATTCATAATACAAACGCGTACAAGTAGGAGGGTCCATTCGACCATTTCGCCTTTTAATAATTATAATATTTGGATAGATTGTATCATTTTTCATTATTATAAAATATCACACATTCATAATTTTAATGATAAATCTAAAAAAAATATAGGGTATGTGATAGAGCTACTATGAAAATGTAATGTAAAAGATGAAATATAATTATAATTAAATAATAAATAAAGATAAAATGAGAAGAAAATATTAAGGTAAAGACGCGATCACACCAAATCAATCCGTAACATAAAGTGCATCTTTTTTGTCATTACCTAACAATGAATTTAAACAATTTAACACAATAAAACTAGTAACAATCAAAACAAATATTGTATTTAAATTAACAATACAATAAAATGCAACGAGTAACAACTATCCAAACAAAACGTAAAAGTAAAATTAAAAATATAAAAGAAAGCTCCTTTATTTTGTACGCTCCATCGGAAAATTCCCAAACACGCTTTCCTGCACGTGATCGGGTCGGGTTCGTTAAGAAGCGGGAAATCCCTCAAATTCAAATTTCAAACCCTTATCCCTTCAATTAAATTCAAACAGTGCTCCAAATTTCAAATTTTTCACAACGAAAACCAAAATTCTCTATCTCAGGTATGATCTTCCTGCCAATTTTTTCTTTTTACTTTTGATTCTTTCTTTTCCATTTTTTCTGATTGTTGAATGAAAAATTGCAGAGATGGATTTGGAAAATATGAAAAGGAAACAACTACAAGCATTATGCAAAGAACATGGAATTCCTGCAAATTTAACCAATTTGGAAATGGCCGACAAGCTTTCTTCACTTCTTAAGGTAATGGGTAATCTTAATTTCTTTATTTATTATCTGAGTTTCAAGAAATTTTCTGTCTTTTTGGTTAAATTTGTCGTTAATGTTTAGGTAAATGATGAAAAACCCTTAACTCGAGGGCGATCATGTTTAAAGATGTTGGATGTGAATGAGTCTGATGTTGTTAATAGGAAGGTAAAGAAAGTGAAGTTTAGTCCTGATAATGAAGTTATTGAGTTTACGAGATCGGCTCAAGTGAAAAGGGGAGGGAGGCGGAAGATAATGTTGTACAAGAACAATTTGGATGTTAGGAGTGATGGGTTAAAAGTAGGCATTTTGGATAGTCCAGTTAGGGTTACTAGGTCGCAGGGAGTGAATATAGAAGATGGTGTTACTGAGAAAAAGGGAAGGACAAGGCAGGTGAAAGATAGTGCAATTTCAGTGAATAAGAGTAAGGATGAAGTTGGAGTGACCACAAAAAGAACATTGAAGAACAAGGAAGTAGTTATTATACAGGAAAAGAGGGAAGAAAATGAGGGAACGAATGATGGTGTACGGATTAGTAGAAGAGTAAGAAGTCGAAAAAATGCTAAAGAGAGTGTAGAGGATTCTCAAGAGGAGCCGAAGATGGATGGAAGTGAAAAGGTAATTGATAGGGAAGAGAAGAGGGACAAGAAAGTGACATTCGTTAGTGGTGGTCACATGGATGAGTGCACAAAGTCTGAAACAAAAGCCAAGGAGCTGAAAAGAGTAACGAGAAGAAAATCTATGGCTCATAATCAGACCTTGCCTGTTCAAATTGAGGTTGATGCTGAAGTAAGGGAGGAGGTTGCGGAGAAGCCAGCTCGGGTTACAAGGTCTCGGAACTTGAAACCAGTTGAGGATAATGTCAGTAACAAAAGGAACCGGACTAGGGGTAAGAAAGCCATTGAGACAAGTGAGGAATTGCTTTGTACTGAATTTGTTGAATCTTCAGTTGAAGCTGTCAAAGATGAAGTTAGAGTAATCACAAGAGGGTCTCGGCAGAATAGTGTTGTGGAGGCACCCGAAAAGGCTTTGAAGAGGTCTGGAAGGATAGCTAATAAGGATAAGGGTTCAAGGTTGAGTGATGATATTACTAAAGAAAAGATGGTTACTAGGGGTAGGACAAGAAATCAGTTTAGCTCGACTGTAGTAGCTTCAACATCGGAAAGTGGAACCAAAATTGTTGAATCGAAGGGGAAACATGAAGTGGTTCTTCAACTTGAAGAACCTGTAGAAGTTCCTCCTAGAAGATGTGATAGGCGCAAATCTGTTTTGCCTTTGGAGAAATTGAGAGGTGATGAAGTTGCGGCCAAGAAGGAGAAAAGAAATTTCTTAAATGCTAATGATGATGAGGTAAGGCAAAAAGTCACAGAAGAAGAACCAGAAGAACCCCAGAAGGCATTGAAGCGGTCAAAAAGGCTTGCTACACAAGTGGAAGATTCAGTATTGGCCAAAGATGACATTGCTGAAAATAAAATAGATAGACCAACTGAATCTCAAGGGACTCTTGAAGTGGTTCTTCAAACTGGAGAAGTTCCTATCAGAAGTAATAGGCGCAAATCTGTTGTTCCTTCTTTGGAGAAAGTAAGAAGTGATGAAGTTGTGGTTGTAAAGGAGAAAAAAACCTTAAATGCTAATGATGGTGAGATTGGAAGTAAAAGGACAAAGGAAGAACCCCAGAAGATTTCAAAGCGGTCTAAAAGGCTTACTAATCAAATGGAAGATCCTGTACTTGCTAAACATGATATTGCTGAAAATAAATTAGAAGAGAGGAGATTGTCAAGAAGGAATGTTGCTAATGCAAATCTAGACACCAAGATATTGGACAGATCAGTGCAAGAAGAAACTTCTGTGGTAAAAGAAGAGAGGAGACGTTCTGGAAGGAGTGCTTCTAGACATACACTTGCAGCAGTTTCAGATGATAAGAAGGAAAAGGGTGGGAATAAGCTGACAAAGAGAAATTGCACTGTTCAAGATAAAGATTCTACCAACAAGTTCACCCTTCAAGATTTAGACTCGGCGAAACAGTCCATAAGTAGTTCAAAGGCAAGTGTCAGGGCATCAGTTGTTAAAAAGACAAGTACTGCAGGGAAGAAGCAGCAGGGTCGACTTAAAAGATCAAATGTGGAAGTAGAAGTACTCATGCCTGAGGACATGGAAATAGTCAGAGAACCTGACAATAAAGATTGTAATATCTCAGGGTCAGGAGGTACAATGAGCTTCTCAAGATCATCTCTGAATGAGCTAGATGCTGTCCCAGATGATGTCAATATAGTTCTCGCTGGCACCAAGGATGACGCAACTGCTGAGTCGAGCATCCTAGCTGACAAATTAACTGAAGAAGGACCACTTGTAGATGCAAATTCTTCTCCATCTGCAAATAAATCCGCATCGAAATCTCTTCCATTCAGTGATCCATTCAACTCTGACGGTTAGTGTATCTGGACTCAGGTTAATATTATGCATTGTTTTGTGAAGAGTGCTAATTCATTATTTCGTATTTTCAGCTAGACCTGAGGAAAACCTAGTTGAGGACCTTTTGCAGGTTGACCACGAGGAGCAGCCTGCAAGCAAAGGCCTATGTCCTAGTTCTGTTTTGGCTGATGATGCAGTTCCAAATGACCTAACTTTTGACAAACAGGAGCCTGGTGCAACAGTAGTAGATAATGTAGAAGAATTTGTCACAGGATTATCTAATGACGTTTTTGATAATTGTTCACTAAGCCAGAGTAATAATATGGGAGAGATCTTTGATTCTGGAACTAAGGATGATGCAGCTGCTGAGTCAAGCCCCCAAGCTGACAAATTGATTGAGGAAGGACCACTTGTTGATGCAAATGCTTCCCCATCTGAAAATAATTCCATATCTGAACCATTCAGTGATTCATTCAACTCCAATGGTTAGTCTATCTAGTAATAAGTTAACATTTTGCCTTTTTTTTGGGAAGAGTGCTAATTCAGTATTTCACATTTGCAGCTACACCCAAGGAGAACCTAGTTGAGGAACTTTTGCAGTGTGATCATGAGGCGCCTGCAGGCAAAGATCTATGTCCTAGTCCAATTTTGGCTGATGATGCTGTTCCAAATGAAATAACTTCTGACAAACAGGAGCATGGTTCAATAGCAGCACATAATGCAGAAGGATTGTCTGATGAAGTTCTTGATAATTGTTCACCAATCCAGAGTGAAAATATGGAAGAAAACCTTGATTCTGGCTTTAAAGAACAATCGGAGACTGGATGTGTTGTTACTGAAGGAGTAAGTCATGGTGAACAGGAGCCTGCAAGCAAAGTCCTATGTCCTGGTTCTTCTTTGGCTGATGATGCAGTTCCAAATGACATAATTTCTAACAAACAGGAGCATGAAACAGTTGAGGCAGATAATGCCGAAGAAGTTGACACGGGTTCATTTAATGAAGTTCTTGATAATATGGAACAGCACTTTGATGCTGGCTTGAAAGAACAATCAGTGACTGGATGTATTGTTATGGAGGGGGTAACTTATGGTGAACAGGAGCCTGAAAGCAAAGGCCTATGTCCTAGTTCTGTTTTGGCTGATGATGCAGTTCAAAATGACATAACTTCTGACAAACTGGAGCATGGTGCAATTGCAGCAGATACCGCAGAAGAATTTGACTCAGGATCATCCAAGGAAGTTCTTGACAACTGTTCAGTAAACCAGAGTGATAATATGGAAGAGAAGCTTGATTCTGGTTTTAAAGAACCATCAGAGACTCGATGTATTGTTTCTGTTGGTGTGAATTATGGTGCACAAGAGCTAACTGCAACGGACTATGCAAAAGAGTTGGATGCGGGGTTGTCTAGTAATGTTTTGTTGGATAATCTAGGTTCTTTCAATCATAGCAATGAGATGGAAGGCAAAATTTCTGAAGCAGAAGCTGAATCTGATCTAGTGGAAGCTAATTATGATCTAGATGCACCCACCTTCACAAGTCAAGGTGAAATTCATGCAGAAGAATGTGGAAACTTGGAGGTGGCTGCTTCCGAGAAAACCGTTTCAAGTCCCATAAAAGCAGTTCTAGATCTTCAAGGTAAGCAATGTTTTTTCATTACTTACCGTTCCTATGAATTTCATAATACATTGACCATCTCTTTTAGTTGCAGAACCTGGTATTCTTGGTGATGGCATCACATTACATGTAACTCCATTAGAGGACAGTGATGAAGAGAAGCAAGGTAGTTTTGAGGTTTTCTTACCTCCTGTTCTTTGCATTTTGCTCATTTCTATACCCTTTATGATGCAACAGGCGAAGAGTTAAAAATTTTGTTTGCCACTCCTGGTTATGTTTCACATTCTAAAGAAGAAAAGAAAGCTTCTTTGGATGGTGATTCAAGGGACGAGGGTCTCAACAGAGAGGGGCAAGGTTAGCTGCAAAGTGCTTCATGTTACATTTTTACTTTTTGTAATTTATTGCTGTAAATCAATTTTTTGTTCGGCATTTTGCCTTGTGTTTTTTGCAGTTTCTCCAATTAGTGGTAATGATACATCAAGTCTCCAAAATTCTGTCCGTGATTGTGGTGAACATGGCCAAGGTTAGTTCTAGACTTCTTCTTCTTCTTCTTCTTCTTCTTCCCCGAAGAGTATATGTTACTTACAGCTTGTTGTGCTATGTTACAGGAGAGTATCTGAAAAGATTGTTTGCCACACCATTTGGTGGTAAAAGCAGCAAGGTAGATATAGCAACTAGTATTGCGATTAATGAGACAAGCAGTCAATACCAACACAGTTTCCATGAAAATGAGAACAGTTAGTCTTTCTTCCTTAATTATGATTTCCGAGGCATTTTATTGCTTAGTTTATATTCTTAGTTGAAGCTGTAGGATTTCAAAATTTAGGTTGTTCATTAACAAGCCAGTAGATCTCTTTTGCCTCTTTTTCGTTTTAAACCATCAATTTTCTCTTACTTTGACCATATTCACTTATCACTTCGTAAGTATCTTTTGACATACAGCTGCATCATCTGCTGGTAATGGTAATTGTTTTGTAAAACTCAATAAACATGTCCAACTCTTCAACTTGATGCAGTGGGGGAAGATCTTAAAGGTTTGTTTGCTACGCCCTCTGTTGTTTCACAATCTGTTGGAGACCTGCACTACCTTTTTCAAAATCAATTGAGTGGAGAAGCAATGACCTCTAGAAGACTTGGCTCAAGCGGAAAAGAAAATTTAACTGAATCTGTCAGGAGTTTGATTGAGAACAAGCAAGGTTGGTTCTGAAATTCCTTTTTTTGACAAGGTCTCTTTTGAATAACCAGTTTCTGCCTTCCTGCTGGATTTTCAGTTGTTCCTTTCGTTCTTCTTTCCCGCTCTCTTTTCTTTTCGGCTTCTAAGATTTGCTAAGGGATGTCTATTGTAACAGTGGAACAAGTAAGGACTTCATTTGCCTCACCAGTCTCTGTGAAATGCACTAACCAAGAGACTACTTCTACCAAAGGAAAGTGTAGCCCAAGTCATGAAATGCAATCTTATATTTGCAGTGGAGTGGAAAGAGATCTCAGTGAATCTGAAGCCGGGTCTATTGGAGTCGACCAAGGTAGTAAATTATCCATTTTAGCCATAATGGATTTACACAAGCTGAGTGTTCACACATGAAATTAGTTTGTTTCTGTTTAAGCTTCTTGTACTAACATCAAAGCCTTATTTCTTGTAGCTCCTGAGACTTCACATATCACTGCTTTCTACTTTGGTGATGAAAATGAACAAGGTTAGTCCAGAACGATCTCCCAGACTGTATAAACTAAATTTGACTGACTTCATCTTCTATTTGCTGCTTTATTGTGCATTAATAGTGTTATTTCCTGATGCGCAGAAGATCAATTGATAATGCCTTTTGCTTCAGCCAACATTACCCAGTCTACGGATCAAATGGATGGAATTCCAAGGATGGCAGAAAACAAGAAACTTTTTATGTCTGGCAATGTTCAAGGTCTCTCTCGTAACAAAGTCTTTCCAGTTGCACATCCAAGTGCTATGGATCTGGAAGAGCCTGAGAGCATAGATTCTAAACATTCTGAAGAACAGAATAAAGTTGAGAAGATCAAAGAAACTGTTGAGTGGATGAAAGAATCCAGTGCTGTTGAAGAAGAGAACAATGACGGTCAGGGTAATATGCTCTCTGCAACATCAGCTAAAAGCATGACTCCATTTCGCAAGGATGAGCTTTCTTCTAAAAAACCTAGGATTAAAGAAACTGCTGAGTGCATGAAAGAATCCAGTACTCTTGAAGAAGAGAACAATGAAGGTCAGTGTAATATGTTGTCTGGAATGTCAGCTAAAAACATGACTCCATTGCGGAATAATGAGTTTTTCTCTCAAGACACTAAGACAGCAGATGTTGCAATGTCAGGAGAAATGGTTGGAGACACAGAGATGACTACAAGACATGAAAGCTGTGTTCAGGAAATTGTTGACATAGAGGAACAAAAAATCGAGGAAACAGTGGCTGACAGGGATTTGTTGTTATTTTCTCCTCAAGAACCTAAGACAGCAGATGTTGCAATGTCAGGAGAAATGGTTAGAGACACAGAGGTGAATGCAATACATGAAATCTCTTTTCATGAAATTGTTGACATAGAGGAACACAAAATTGAGGAAACAGTGGCTGACAGGAATTTGTTGCTAAGAGGAGATGTCTCTAGAGGTCTTGAAGAAGATATTTATGTTGGAATTGCAAATGAAAGTACTTCTCCTGTTATTTCAGAGCCTACATGCAATGATATTGGATTTTCTGAACAGCAAATGGTGCCGGAGATCAATCAGAGCAGTCCAAACGAAAGTGCTTCTCCTATTTCAGAGCCTACATATGATGATATTGGATTTTCTGAACAACAAATGTTGACAGAGATCGATAAGAGCAGTCTCGGGAACATTAACACATCTGATGCTTTTAATGATGGTACTGAAGATCACTTGAGACTGCAGTTTGCCACCCCAATCAAAGAAGCAAATCCTTCCAGATTGGGTGAAGCTTCTAGTTGTCAATTGAAGACAGCAATGATTGCAATGACTTCTGAAATGGCTGGTAAGCAGCCTAAGCAAGGGTTTGAATTTTCTGGAGAACCACTTACTGTAGAGATTATTAGTGGAGGTTCTGATAGAACAAAAAGATCTCATTTCTCCAAAGAGATTGAACAATTTGAAGGAGGGCCTCTGTTTCCTACACCATCAAAAGGTACACGTCCACTACAGTTTGAGGAAAGTCCTGGTTGTGAGGAAGATATCTTCAAGTATCTAGATGGTGTTAAGCTCCTTAACACTCGGGAACAAAATTTTGAACAGCACGGAGATCGTCAATTTTCAAATGAAATAACTGATGATACAGGTGAAGCTACACTTCATTGGTTTCAAACAAACGATGACAATGTTCCCAGACAGACAGAACTGGAGACACAGAAAGGTAATAATCATTTTCGATGTTGTGTGTGTGATTAATTTGCAAGTCTGAGTATATAATATAATGAATTCTTGAATGGTACAATTATGAATTTGGATTGGTTAAATGAAGTGCAGGTGGAAGAATAAGAAACTATGCCTTCAGATGCTTGAAACATTTGAAATCAGTTTTCTTGGAACACTATATAGAGGAAATTAAAAAATATTAAGGATAACATATTAAAAAATTTGATCAAATGAAAGTGCTTGTAAGATGAAACTTATAAGCTGGGGGATAAATAGCTTATGGTTTAGAAGCACAACTGCACAAGGCTTATAAACACATTTATGTTTACCAAGCACGTAGATAAGCCAAAAATTGCTTATATTCCAATTTGACCGGCTTATAAGCTTATCAAAACACCCTCTTTATCTGCTGATATATGGTTTTGATGGTTAAGAAATGTGGCAGTGCTATCGGGATTATTATTACCAAATGAAGTACCGGATATTATCAGGTAGTTCTTAAGAATGATTGGCTCCTAATCCTAAAAGTATTGAGGAAATATAGATTTTACTAGTACACTTTTCTCATTTTCTATTTTGCAAGGTCCCTAAATAGATGCATAAGCCTGATATTTGGACTGCCAATGATGCAGAAATTGATTCTGCCTGGCTGTTCGAGCCCTTGCATGAGGAAGGGGAAGTCACAGAAGATGATGCTCTGGCTAAGGGCAAGGAAGACAATCATCCTGTACCATATCAAGAATCTATTGAAGACGAATTAATTAACACTGATGAATCAGCAAAAAGTGGTGCTGTAAGTGATGCAGTTTGCCAACAACCTAACATTCTTTTAACTGACATCAAAACTGAGAACATAACTCAGGAGAGCACAAGGAAGACCGATGGCTTTTCCGTTAGTGCTGGTGAGTTCAATAAGTCTGTATGAGCAACAATGTGGCAACCTCAGGTTATCTTGAATTGTTTTGTTTTATTAATATTTTTCTTTGTGCATGAAATTTGTACATAGAGGTTAGTAACCTCAGGGTATCCATTTCTTAACCTAAGAGGCAACTTTATGAAGATTTTGTGATCTTTAACTTTCAATTATCTTGAATTATTTTGTTTTATTAATATTTTTCTCCAAAATTTAAAACTGCTTACTTAGTAATGAATTTCAGAAAGTGGAATTCTTGAATTTGATGCTGAATCCACTGCATTAAGAAGTCAGGAACCGATTATCATCACAGTAGAAGAGACTAAGGGAGAGGAAGTGCAAAGATTAGAAGTGAGCAATATCAGTAATGCTTTCCTAGAGAATATTCCCAATGATGATGAATATGCAAAAAACAATTCAACAGTTTTGCCTGCTGATGAGCAGATCCATTTTATAGAACATTATGCGATAGAAAATGCTTCGAGCACTGAGGGGTTTACTGCTTTCACAAATGAATGTCAACATGTTACTAAGGAAGATGATCTTGCTGCTGAGGGGGACATACTTGTTATATTTGAATCAAATGAGAGCACGCCTACGATTGTTAACAATTCAGGTCTCACCACACAAATGGACATGCCTGGAATATTCACAGAAGAGCCTCAGCGTGTAAGTGATCAAGAGAAGTCAAGTGCAGCTAAGCAACAAGATGAGGATTCTTTTGATAAAAAGGAGCATGAATCAACCGGAGCAGTGTTATCACCTTCTTCTAGATCTCATGAAAGCATTAGCTTTATTGAGGAAGGTAAACAGGGCTGATACCTGCTGGATTTATCTGATATATTTCGAACATTTAGGTTTGACTATACTAATATGCATTTGTCATGTCATTTAGGCATTGCTGGTGAAGGTACATTGATATTTGAGAAAAAGGATGAGTTGGCTGAAAAGAAAGTAGCTTTAACCCCAGCAGCAGGTGTGGCTAAAACATCTTTTGCCAAGCACTTGAACTCCACTGTGAAAAAGAAGAATGCCAGAAGCATTCTGATACATGGAACCCCTAACAAACTAACTCAGATAGCTGACATGAAAGAAAATGCTCCAAATGTTAAAGGAGATATCGGCACTTTAACTGCGTTAAGGCCTGATAAACGAACTGCTTTGAAAGACCTCCCAAGGAAATAGAAGAAACATGTGTGTAAATCTTGTGAGTTTTTTTCTGTTTTGATTGTCCTGGTTTGATGATTGCTGCATATCTCATGGCCTATACTTCTGTTACATGAGAACAAATAGGTTGTGTAATTATGTCATTTTTATGTTATTCCATGGGATTGACATTGTAACTGTCCTGATTTTTTTGGTAAAAGATTGATTGACAAGAATGTAAGGATTTTATTACCCAAATCTCACAGATAATTTCCAGATTTCCCAGCTTCAGTTTGGAACAATTACTCCCTCCGTCCCATTTATGTGAGGTAGTTTGACTCGGCATGGAGTTTAAGAAAGAAAGGAAGACTTTTAAAACTTGTGGTCCAAAATGAATAATAGAAATTTGTGTGGTTATAAATTATTTCATTAATGGTAAAATAGATATTTTATAGTGAAATTGTTACTTAATATAGAAATGTGTCATTTTTTTTGGGACTAACTAAAAAGAAAAGTAAGTTTCATAAATTGGGACAGAGGGAGTACCTTCATAGGCTAAGTTTAAAACTATGTCAACTTGAAATGCTATGAAGCAAAGGTATCTTGTCTTGAAATGCCAATGGGTTATAATGTGACGTCTTCCATCAAATTATTTGTTGTGATTTTTAAAAATAGTTTGCTCAAATTAATTTGTAATTTTTTAAGCTTAATACAAATTAATTATGTTTTCTCAATTTATAATTTGTATTTATTTGTTATGAAGACTATAAACATCTCAATTATGACACATAAATAGAGTAACTATTATCATATCTTAAAACATAAATAAGGATAAATAATAATAAATTCCTCCTAATTAATATTCTATTAAGAGACATATAAAAAAAGAAACGTGTAAAAGAAGAATCTCTCTCTCTCTATATATATAGGAGAAACATAGAGAAGATGATGTGACACTTCTCTATGACCTCTATTTATATTTATCTATTTTCTCATTTTTTGTTGACTATTTTTCCTTCATTATTTATTTATTTTATTTTAATATCTTAAAAGGTTTTCACATTCAATTACTCAACTTTTCAGCGATCACTATAGTATATATTTAATATCTTTAATAAAATAAAAAATAACTACTAATAACTCACACATCCTCAACTTATACTCTTAATAATATTCATAACTCTTTTTTTCTTTAATCTTCATAACCCTCAAAATTTAATTTGTAAGTTTATGTCTTATGGTATTCCTCCTCTTTGTCTATATAAATTCATATTTTGTATCAAGAAAATTTTCATTCAAAGTTATTCTTTCACTTCTCCATCATCATATCATACATTAGGGTGAGGAAGAAAATGTTAATAATCACATCATATGGTTGCTTTCAACAAAGTCATAAAGAAATTATGAGTAAAAATGCTTCTATTAAGTTTTTAAATTATACGTTTTTTACTTTAATTTATGTGATATTATTTATTTATTTATTTTAAGTCAATTTAACTAATCTTTGAAACTAAATTGACTAAGTTCACGGAGTAACTAACAATTTCATATAAGTATATTCTTAATTTGCACTTATAGGGATGAAGAAGAAAGCCAAGGAAGATACGAAAGTAGAGAAAATTGTGAATTTTAGAAGAAGATGATGTAGAGTCTTACAATAAAATTATTGTTATAGTAATTTTATCTCTTTAATTTTTCTTTCCTCTTCTCTATTTTCCATTTATGTACTTTATTGAAAAACTTAAAATATATTTTATAATTCTTTTAATTGTAGTTCCTTACCTTCTCTTTTTTCTTAAAGTTGTATTTTAAAAACGTAAAGGGAAGAGAATAAAATGATAAGTAAAGCAAATCAGATGACTGAGAAAGAGAACTTGATAAAGCAATCTTTTTTTTAATGACTATCGTTGTACATACATAATTCATTAGGCAAAATTATGATTAGTTCTTGTGAAATTTTATTATGATAACTTTTTGCAGCCTCCTAAAACGAACATTATATACTTGAAGTTACTGTTTATTTGCATGCTGAAGTACATTCCTAAATTCGATATTACAATTAGAAGTATTTTAAAGAGGGAAAATTTGATAACTTGTTAAAAAAGTGTTATCCAAACAATGAATTTTAAAAAAATGACAACAAACTAGAGCATTTATATAATTCTTAAGAAAAACTAAAGAAACTAAAAACATTATATCAATACTTTCATTTTCAAAAAAGAAAAAAGACAATATAAAGGTCATAAATTTATGTTTATATAAAACTTGAATGAAACAACACCTCTTTTAACTTTATATTAGAATACATCTTTTTAAATTTTAGAATTTTTTATTTACTCTCACATTTAATGCAATATTTAACTTATCTTTTTCGTTTCCTCCTCTTTTTTTGGTTTCTCCCTATTTCTATGTAACCAATGCACGTAAGAATTAATTAAGAAAAAATGGAAAAAATATAAGAATTAGTTCCTCAATATCACTATTAATAACTTATCATTTGCACCTCTCTTTACCAAATATCTTATTTATTTTTTTCTCTAAATTTCACTATATTTTAATTTATTAATATTATTTAAAGTGTCAATTATTACTCTCTCCATTCATTTATATTATTTATTGTAAAAACTTAAATGTCTCAAAATTTATTATTCGACATATTCTTATTCTTTGTTGTAAATTTAAAGACCTAAATATATATCACTCCAACCTTTCATTTCTCCATAAAGAATGAAAAACTAATATATATATAAAGCAAGATATTAAAAAGTGATTTGATACCTTCTTTGGCCAAGGATCCTATTTATTTATTTTTTCTCATTTTTGTTGTTGTTATGATTTTCACTATATTTCTATTTATTATTACTATTAAAATATGTGTCAATTATACCCCTTCATTAATTTCTATTATTTATTGTAAGAATTCAAACTTTACTACTCCACATATTTCTATTCTTTATTGTAAATATAAAGACATAAATATTTATCACTCAAATCTTTCATTTTCTCCCAAAAGAATGAAATTATTAAATTAGAGTAGTCTAATGGAATATCTTTTCAAATAGCTTAAAAAAACCCACCCCTTTAACTCTCTTGATTATGAGATTTCTCTTTTTATCTTAATTTTTATAAATCTAAAAAATATTTACATAATTAGTCAATTAAAAAATAAGATAAGTTGTAACTCTCCAGAAAGAATTCTCAATATTCATTTATATTTATTACATTTCATGATGAACCATGATTAAAGTTAGAAATAAGAAAATATTGCACTAGCGAGAAAAAACATTTTTTTTCCAACTTTTTCCCCCTATTTTCCTTTTATTTTATCAGTTTATAAGAATAAAAGTCACAATTATTATCATTTATTATCCTAAATTTTCATATTCTTTACTAAAAATCAAAACTCATCCACATATTGATTTATGAGATAGAATGGGGAACGAGTTCGTGACCTAATAGAATAGTGTTTTGTATTGGTATTCACTTTTAACTTCTTCATATTCATGTAGTGTTTGGGTTACAAAATTTATTTAGTTTCTATATAAAATTGATATTTTAGCTTTCTTGTGTATTTATTACTTTTAATGTAATTTTTTTATGAAATATTAATTAATTAGTAGATGTGTGAATTGAATATAACTTCTACTTCCTTTCTTAAATTTAAAATTACTTTCTATACTTTTCATATGAAAGGTTTGTGTGGATATATTAAAAAGTTTAAGCTATTAATTTTATTAATTGCACTAATTGATATGCTCATATTTTAAAGTAATAATTGTGAAAAAGTTAAATTACAAGTAAGAGAAATCAGGAAATCTAAATTTACATAGTTAAATAAATTTATAAGCGTAAATAATATTATATAAAGAAATTATTAGTACAATCGCATAAATAATTTAAAACACCAAAAAATGAGATACCGACGTATTTAAAATTGGCATGAAAATATATCTTTGTATTGCTTCAAGGCAAAATTATAATTCTCTTTTTTTATCTGGAAACTAATTTAATTTTATGGTTTTTGTTATATATATATATATATATATATATATAGAGAGAGAGAGAGAGAGATATTTTGATATTAAATTTTTTTAATTTCTTTTAAATCAACTAAATATAGAAAAATATGGCCGCGCGAAGCACAATTTGGTTAATTAGTACGATAAATAATTTCAGGTGAAGATGTATTCATTTCTACCCTACAAACAATGAGATTTGATAAAACACTGCTCCTCTTCTATGGCATGCCATGTCATATTAAAACTCTATTTTTTATAATTATTTATTTAACTTATAAAAACTCATTTAGGATTTGATTTCATTTTTCTAATGAAATAAGAATGTAATCCAATTATTCATATGACAACATTTTTTTAAAACTATGTTTAAGGCATGAGTCGAGTAATGAGTTTGACAAATTTATTATTGAAAGAAATCAAAATTTTAATGTGATATGACATGACAATTAGGAGCAAATGAGAATTTTATACATTCAACGATTCATGCTGAAAGATATTAGGTCGTATTATTTTTACATTAGACAATATTGTGAAGCAATCAAAATGTCTTACTTTATGACATCATAATTATAAGATATTTCATCAACTAAGAAACTTTTTATATAATTTTATACTAATAAATACTTTTTGAGAAAAACTGTAACGATCAAAACCGTCGTTAATTAGGAGAGGCAAAAATTTGGGAAACTGTTGGGCCTTGTACCGCCAGAGCGGTCCAGGTGCCTCTAGGGCGGCAGCGCCACAACGGGGTAAGCTAGTGCTAGGGCGGGATAGGCGAGGCAGCACGTAAATTACGAGAAACCCTATTTTCCCAATCTTCTTAAAATACCTAAATAAGTCGTAAAACACCCTAAAAACCTCAGAAAAGCTGGTCTAAGCTTGGAAAGGAAGGGGAAGGAGACTTCTAGCGTGAGGATGGTGAAATTTTGCGGATTCTTGGATAAATGCACCGTCACGAAGCACGGGAAACACGAATCGAAGTCAAAACTCTGTGCAACTGCTTGGCGCCTAGGTAGGCTAGGTTTTATGAATCGACTAGATTAAATTTGTGCTTCCCACATAATATATGTAAATCAATGGTAGGGTTGATGTGTAGACGTTCGTGCACCGAGGGAATTCCAGGGGTAATTCCTAGAAATCAAGTAATTGGGTTATGCCTTGAGAAGAGAAACTGATGACTTGTTAGGGTTTCTAGAATTGATATGTTGGATATAATTGTGTCAAGAATAAGAATATGGAATCAT